GTGTTAAGAAAGGCAGAGGTAGACCTAGGAAAACTTGGGCTTATTGTATTAAAAATGATCTTAATTTACTAGAACTAAATGAAAATATGACACTAAATAGGACGCAATGGAGAAAAAGGATTCATGTAGCCGACCCCACGTAGTGGGATTAAGGCTTTGTTGTTGTTGTTGTTGTTGTAGGATATCCAGATAAAAATTTCATCATCATGAGTTTCAAAGCTCTTAGATCTACTTTAAGATGAGTTTTGCACTCTTCTTAAAGCCTATCAAAAAGCTTAGGTCATTGAAGCATATCCTAACCGAATTTTCACTCAAGATATTCCTACAAAAAGTTTTTCCCATTCTAAATTGAGTGTGATAGCTCATCTCTACTGCTTCATGAACACAAACAAATTTTAGATACAATAGCAACAACAAAAATTTATCTCACTAAATGCGGTCGGCTACATGAATCTTTTTTCTCTATTGTGTCCTATTGAGTGTCATATTTTTATTTAATTCTAATGAATTAAGTTTACCTTTACCTAGCTTAACATAAGTCGAATCTAAAACATCTACTCTCCTAACCGGATTATCAGATGGTCGATATTTAATGTGACAAAACCATCTAAGATGACTCTCTCTAATCTTGTCTGCCACTAGAGCTACACCAACTCTTTCACGAATACCTTCGTTTCACACATTTTATCTCTAATTGTCTGTTTGGGGCAGTTGCAGCTTATTAAATAATCTGCTGATAAGTTAATTAAAAATAATCTGCTGATAAGCTAAGTGCGGTGACTATTATATTTTTTTTTTTGAAAAAGCTAAACCGCAGCTAAAAAGTTGTCACCGCACCTAGATAGGTGCGGTGTGAAAACACTATTTTCAGCGTTTAGAAAATGCATAAGCTGTTAAAACCCAGTTTACCCAAACATGTCAGGTGTGTTTTCAAAACTCTACCGCACCAAATAAGCTGCCCCAAACAAGTGGTAAGTGTCAAGCCTAGGGCTGTCAGAAAAGCTCGTTGTTCGTGAACAGTTTATGTTCGGTTGGTCAGAGAGTTCGTGATTGATTCGTTCGAAAAGCAAACGAATCGAACACAAACAATTTTTTTTGTTCGGTTTGCTAAACGAACCAAACACGAACAGTGATGTGTTCGTTCGTGTTCGATTCGTTAATGTTCGAAATATACAATAATTTAAAATAGTTATATATAAAAAGAAATTACGATATTTTTAAAATAGTTATATATTTTAAAAATTTATCATATTTTACAAAATTAAATTCTATAAATTATAATATATAATAAATATTAATAACATTAATAATATATTACTATTGATTATATTAATATAAATATTATAAGGTTATAATTAATAAAATATATTATATATTAAAAAAAACCCTAGAGACCTAATTCTAAACAGCGACCTTTACCTTCTCCACTTCTCGAAATTCGGCCGCGCCTCCCTCTTCCGAACCTTCTTTTTCTCCTCTAAAAATCACGAAAGCTTTTCGCCCTGACTGTGAGAGTTTAGGGTTTGTTTTTTATGTTCGTTCTCTACTCTCTATTCCTATCTATCTTCGAGCCAACGTTGGTTGGGCTGCTCGTTGCTCGCCTGCTCGGTATTATTGTACATTTGCTTGGTTGCTTGATATTCTTTCTTGGTTGGTTGTAAGACTATTGAGGTGTCCTCTTGGAGTATATTTTCTTTGATATTTCTTATTTATTCATGTAGCCGACCCCACGTAATGGGATTAAGGCTTTGTTGTTGTTGTTGTATTTCTTATTTATCTTCAGTTTTGCCTCTTACCTTAAAATTTCTTAAATGTCTTTTAATTTTTGTTTATTGAAACCTAGTTTTTGAAGCTTATGGGAGTGAGAATGTTGGTTGCTGCACAGAGTAACCTTTCTTCGCTCTTAAAGCGAGGAGGTTTGAAAATAAATTTCATGGGAACAACACGGGTTTATTTCTTGTGCATTTGAGGGTAATCCATGCTTCCATGTGTCGATAGTTTAATAATAGCAGCACACAAGTTGATGGAATAGTCATGACTCATGACATTGCAAGGTATATTGAGTTTTTGGTTTAGGGGCATTTGAAATTTGCATGCTAGAATGCTTTGATACATATATTAGATCTAAGAGTTTTTGGTATCCATATGTATCTAGGAGTTTTTTTGCTCTTTTAAGTTACAGATCAAATAAACATATCATTCTTCCTTTTTATTTACATAGAAATTGCATTATAAAAGTTACTTTGATGAAAGGGAGAAGAACTATAGCTACTCTGTTTTAATATGTAAGAATATAAGCTATGCTCTTCTTTTAAAACAGCATAGCACTTTCTTTTTTATCTGCTATTCTGAAATACATAAGTATTAGTTTCACTTATGTTTTGAAACATGATAATATCGGCAAATTTCTGATATGCAGCAAGTGTAACTATTTGTTTGGAGCCATCAAATGTTAAATGCTTAGTCTCTTTTAACAACTATTGGCGAATTTCTGATATGTTTTCCAACATTTTTATTAAATTCAACCATACTTATAAATGTTTGATGAAAAATATTTATAGTATTTGGAAGGGATTAATGTTAATCAACACTTTCATTAGGTAAGTTCTGAGCTCAATTCCACTTTTCATATACTTCTTGGCGGCTCATTTTCGTACAACGAGCTTTCAATGAAATTCCTAATGTTGGTCTTTGCCTCACTTCTTGGGACTGCTCTAAACAATAAATACGGAATTGTATGTGCAAGTAGTGTTGAGAATTGGACCTTATTTAGGGTCTAATTGGTACAAAATGAATCTTGAAGAAGTTTAGGGGTATAAATCCAGAGGTGTAATACCTTTTTTTCTTCATAAACTTTATTTGTTTAGATATCTTGTTTGAACAATTTAGCACTTGGAGTCTGTTTTGTCAATAATTTTGTGTCTGCTAGGATGTAAATTATGTAATGATTAAATGGTGTTATTTATTCAGTCTTCAACTGACAACTGGTCATCAACTCATCGTTGATGATGTAATGATAAAAGAATATTTTTGTTGAAGTTCTAATTCACCTTCAAAGGTTATTTACTGCTTCTGATAATTTGAGAATTTATAATTAAATTGTTGACTTTTTAATAATTTAAATAATGCAAATTTCGAATATTTTGAAAAAATCAAACAATTTGAATAATTCAAACAATTTAAGAAATTCAAATAATTCAAACATTTCGAATAATTTAAACATTTCAAACAATTCGAACTTATTTCGAACAAATCGAACCGAACACGAACAACAAGTTTAACAATTTCGAACATGAACTTATTTCAAACACAATTAATTTCAAACAAACTGAACACGAACACACGCTCTGTTTGTTCATGTTAAACTCGTTTACACCTCAAGTCAAGCCACTCATCCACCCAAGCGTTCTCATCTCAGCAACAATTAACTTAATTTTATGATTCTCCTCTATATTAAGTGAGAAAAAAATAGGAAATTTTTAATCAACGCATCAGTAAAAGGAAAATCAATTATACCTTAGAGGACTGACAATAGCCGGAGGAGAATTAGGGAACCAGGTGAGAACCAGCCTAACAACTAAAAGCGTATTATATATGTTCAAGAAGTTAGAAATTCCGTTCGCCACCAAAATTCCGGCGACAGAATCCCCGGGAAGAATTGCAGCAAATTTATGAACAGACAACGAGCTGCGACTCCCGCGATTTCCGCAACGAACCTGGCAGAAGAAGAGAAAGAGGAATCAATAAATTAGTAGAGAGAAGAATGACTATAAGAAAAAGGTTTCACTTTGGACTACCTCAGCGAAGAATGTGCGGATTTCGGTGGAGATGGAGAGGAGGGGCTTAAGCCAGGGATGATCGGCGGCAGAGGTAACGGCAGCTTCTAGGGTTTCTAGAAGCCGCGCTACGGCGGCGGGAGGTCGGTCTAGGAGAGGGGGCTTCGAGTGGAGGCGGAATGAGGAGGATACGAGGCCCGCTTGAGGGGAATCGGTGGGGAGAGGAGCCATAGTGCTTCGTCTGTGTAGCGCGGTGAGACTGGTGTTTAAAGAAAGGGGAAAGGATAACGTTGCTAGGTGAGTACCTCGGCCTTTCGTGGATGTGGTTTGATATATATATATAATAATAATAATAATAATAACAATGAGAAGCTATTATACGAGTCTTCATTCACTCTTAATATGCCTAAAAATTCAAGTACTACCTCCTTAAAATTGCGTAAGAGGGAATTCGAACATCCAACCTGAGAGATCTTATACTGTGGATGTCAATCAACAGATCGAGGCACACGCGTCTATCTATATATATATATATATATATAAAATTGAAAGCTATTATATGAGTCTTCGTTCACTCTTAATATGCCTAAAAATTCAAGTACTACCCCCTTAAAACTGCATCAGAGGGAATTCGAACACCCAACCTGAGAGATCTTATACTGTGGATGTCAATCAACAGATCGAGGCATGCGCGTGCACGCACACACATGTGTGGGTGCCACGTGCATGCCTCAATTGATTGACATCCATGATATCTATATATATATATATATATATGTATGTATATATATATAAGGAACTAACAAGAAAATCATCAATCAATGAAGCTTACTAAAATCACAACAGAAGATGTACTTGAATGAGTCTAAAATTGAACAACCAACAAATAAATTTTCAATGTGTTTAGATTGATCCGAGAGAAGTAAAATTCAATCTCATAAGACCATGATAGCATCTAAAAGCTTGATAAGCCATTTCTTGCCTTTGATTATCCATAAAAAATGAGAAGAAAAAAAAACAATTAAGGAGCAACCCACCAAAGAAAATCACTTCCATTTGAAAACCACATCAAAACAATAAGAGAGCCAAGATATTCAATTTTGAGAAAACTAAATAGGAAAGAAATATGGTAAAAGCAAATACACAATATTAGAGAGAAAAGATTGATAAACTACTAAGAGCTCGAAACTTACCTGCGAACAATACTAAAATTCCTTCCAAGTAGTAATGAATATCAAATTCAATAGTACTGTAAAAAATGGATGGAAATCATCAGAGCCCAACCTATCTCAAACTATCAGCGAAAGATTAAATATAAATTATTTCTTATCAACTTACATCTAATAACCCAAACAAAAGACTATAATAAGAGCCAAAATACCAAATAATGTGGGAAAATTTAAAAGAAATCATTAGCCAATGAAGCCTTTTAAAATCATAGCAGAAAAAATTCAGAATGAGACAAAAAAAAAAGAAACAACCAACAAATAATCATCCAATATATTAAAATTCTAACCAAAAAGAAGCAAATATCAAGTAAATCAACAAAACATAATCAACCACCAAAAAGAACATCATAACAACCAAGATAAATCACCACAAAATAAGCTATCAAAAATAATCTAAAAAAAAAACTATAAAAAACTTTAAAACTCATAATCTTTCTCTAACTGATCGGCAGAAATGAGCAATAAAACCAATTCAAGAAAGATTAAAAATCATAAAGAGTTTTTATATAATTAGAGATATTAAACTTAAATTTTCATCTCCATTTTTTGATATTAACAATCCAAAAAATTTTATGGAGATAAAATCGAGAGAATAAGAAGAGTTTCTAAATACTCTATTGTTTCTTTCCACCATATATAGTAAGAAGTGGAATGAATTGAAAGCAAGTAAATTTTTTTAGAAATTTTACATAAAATATTTTCAGCATGATAAATAACTTGAAATGAAACTGTTAGGTTTAATGAAGAAATTCTCGTTAGGAATGCAACCTTTATTAAGGAATGAGAAAAAGAGCATTCAAGTAAAATAGGAGAGTCAGATTCATGGTATTAGAGCTTAATATGCAACTAATATTAAAAGTAATACCTATACTATGAAGTAAATCATCTGTTTTAAGACCACAATGAAATATTTTTCACATATGGTAAGCATAGCTAATAGCCTAAGCTTTGAACCAAATCAATTTATACCAATCAAAATGAGAGAAAGTTTAATACTGAAAAAAGTAAATATGTTTATGTAAGCAGATATCAGAATATTTCCAAAGACAATAAATTCTTTCTGATATAGGAATGACATATATAACATGTATATAATATAAAAAGAATAATATGATTATAGCTAAGAGTCAAGTTATTATTTTAAATAACCGATAAAGTTTAGTATTTTTGGGATCTTGAACTATGTGAAAGATAAATTTCCAAACTTTTCAAAATGAGGGGCCCCATAAAGCAAAAGATTATAATAAAAATAAAGAAAATTTGAAGAAGTTTCTTTAAACTTAAGACGAACCTTGATTTTAGAAACAAATGTAACTAAATATTTTTAAAGAGAAAAAAAAAACAAATAGAATGATAATGTTTCATTCAACCAACTAGCAAAATAAGTAAAAGCATTAAATATTCTCTAAATTATCACTACTTTGCATAAAGAGTTTTGAAATAAGTATTTTGAAATACAGAGGTAACCAATTTGTCAAACCACGTAAATCTGTGTCCCTGCTTGTTGTTTATGTGTGAATTTTTCGTTCAAATTTTCGCTTTATTGCCATCATTTTTTCACACCACGTTGGTCAACACAAATTTTAAAATTTAGCCAGGTGGCCCTAGGGAGGCGTGCCACTTATAGCTGAAAATTCAGTCCCTCCTTGTAATTGGGGAGATCTCCTTGGGATTATAAAAAGACTAGGGGGATTAACCCATTTGTCATGTTCTAAGTGCCATTTAATAAGCATTTTTTGCTTAATTAAGCGGTACTTTGGGGATTTTGCATGAGGAGGCCGATTTAGGTTCTCTCTCTTCCTCATTTTGCCCATATCGCCTCCTTATTTCAGTTTTTGAGCAAGTTAGGAGAGCTCGGGAGAGCACAAAAGAGAGGGTCATCTTCCTCTTGGAGATTTTTGTAGGTGCCTTGGAGAGAATCTCTTGGAGCAATGGGGTTTGAGGAAGACTCTTTATCTTCCTCAAGGAGAGAGCTAAGGTGTTAGTTCTCTTCCAATATTGACTTCATGCTACCAATGATTATTGTTGCTTGATGCTGCTTATCTCATATAATCGGCATTACCTCCAACACAAAAATCTTAATTTTATTTTGCAAGCACCTTAAGAAAACAATGATGAGCAACAATCAAACATTCAAAAATATATATTTCAACCAAATATTCAAACATATATTTCAAATATATGATTTTAATTATAATAGTTTTAAATATATTAAAATTTTAATTTCTTACAATCATGTCACATTTTAGCCTTCATTTTAATATACCCACTTATATACAAATTTCATTGGGGTATTTACATATATTTTACATGATTCTTATGTATTTATATATTTAAGAACCAATTTTACTTACCTTTACTAGATCCAAATCATTCATATCACCTCAAGAATATCACAATTATTAATTAAAAAAATAAAAACATATATTTTCAAGCATAAATAAAATGATATAAAAATTTTTAAAATTAAAATATTAGTTATGTAAATGCACATCAAGTGTATGTTATATATGTAAATACATATTTTCATTTATAATTATTTAAGATAAAGGACAAGTTATAAATTTCAAGGGGCATCCTATAGGCTATAACTACCTCAACTTTAAACATGTGGTGGATAACAAACTTCAAACGTTTACGTTGACCATAAATCTATGGCAGCCGTCAAACTAGTCATACGTGGCATTTTTTAATTCACTTTAACAAGCCACGTCGGTATGGTCACAATATAGTGTCAAATTGAATGTTCCAAATCCGTACCCGCCAGTCATCCCTTCAGCTTCAAAGTACTTCACCATCCTTTTTCTGCTCTCCCATTCAACAATTCGAGCTCAATTTCTCCTTCTTCTCCATGGCTTCCCCTCTCCTTAGACTAACTCTGTCCCGGAACCCTAACCCCAGGAACGTGGTACTACTCCATCCCGCAAGATTCATCAAACAAATTTGCCCCCTCCGCGGCGGTCTTCGCGGCCCCGGTGGTGCAGCGGGCGGGTCGGTTGAGTCTCTGAGATTAATCCGAGCAAAGGCCGTGGAAATTGGAGCTCCAGAGGGGGCCATACAGCATCAGGATTCAAGGTATTCGACCATTCTTCTGGAAGTGGGCGGGATGATGTGCGGCGCGTGTGTTTCCCGTGTGAAATCGATATTGTCCGCCGATGATCGGATCGAATCGGTGGTCGTCAACATGGTCACCGAGACGGCGGCGTTAAAGCTGAAACTAGTAGTTGACGAGGAAGGGGTGGAAAGGGTGACTGAAGAGCTTGCTGGGAGGCTGGTGGATTGTGGCTTTACGGCTAAGAGGAGGAGATTAGGACAAGGGGTGGGGGAAAACGTGAGGAAGTGGAAGGAAATGGCGGAGAAAAAGGAGGTATTGCTTGCAAGAAGCCGTAATAGAGTGTTTTTTGCCTGGACGCTGGTGGCTTTGTGCTGCGGATCGCATGCTTCACATCTCTTGCATTCTCTTGGAATACATGTTGCACATGGTTGGTTTTCCTTGCAAAGCATTGGTTGGGTTTGTGTACAAGTAACTAAAAAATTGCCTGTCAACCTTTAATTGCCAAATTCTTAATTACACTGAAAGATTTGATCTAAATTGGATGTGTTATACAGGGGCCTTTTGGGATTTGCTGCATGAGTCTTATTTGAAATGTGGTATTGCAGCAGCTTCTTTGCTTGGACCTGGAAGGGGTAATCTCTTCACTTTCCTATTGAATATGTTCATGCAATATGTTAGTTTTATGACCATTAATCCAGAAATCCATCTTAACTAAACGGAAAGGTACCTTATGAGGTCTACTATGATAGCTGAAAAGCTGCACGAATTGAGGGATTGTGCTTAGGGTGCTTGACTGCTTTATTCTATGGTCTGTGACTTTTTATCTATAAAGTTTTGGGAATTTACTTTGATAATTTTTTGTACATATATTTTTTTCTAAAGTTATAAATAGTTGAAAAATGATAATCCATGAATGTTCTGTATGGTTTTGGACTAGTTAAATGTGTTGGTGACACACAATATTTTACATATTCCTCGCAATGCAGCTGTCAGTTGCCTTCTATGGATTAAATCCAAGGGTGTTTTTGTGGGGGGGGGGGGGGGGAGGATGAGGGTGCATGTGATCCCCCTAACTTTTTTTTATGTTTAATTATGTCATAATATATTATTGGCATATATTGATATTCCCATGTCATGCAATGTTTATGGTGCTAAGCATTCAATTTGTGCCCCATTCAAATGATAAAAATGAATGCTTTTATTAAGAAAATATTTTGGCTTTGCCATTTATTAAATGACATCTTATCTGACAGATTGATCTGACCATAATATGTTGTAGAAACAATAATCATCAATTTATGTCCTTTAATGCAGAAGCTTATGATAGATCATATGTGAACATAGAGGTCAACTTGTTATGGAATCAAAGTTCCAAAAGGGCATCACATTCTTCATGAAAATTATTCTTGTAAATGGAATGATGAGGATTTTCTATTGTTTTGCTAATGCATATGATGCCAGACGTAGTTTCATACAATTGATAAATGTATATATGTATGTATATATATATATATATAACATTGCTTAATTTTAAGGCATGTGTGTGTACTTTCCATGTCTATAGATCTTCTTTTAGATGGCATCAAAGCATTCAGAAAAGGCTCACCAAATATGAATTCTCTAGTGGGTTTTGGATCAATTGCCGCATTCCTAATTAGTTATGTGAGTCAATTTTTATAACTAGTTTTGATATTGATAGTTGTTTTCTCTTGAGTTATTTCCTTACTCTTGTGAGATGCTTCATTTAATAATCAAATTTTCTTTATTGCAGGTTTCACTTTTGAACCCGGGCCTGGAATGGGATTCTTTCTTTGATGAACCAGTGAATTTTGTTTCCATAATTATATTTTTCATCTAATTTCATATTGATTTTGGGTCTATTTGGGGCAGTTGCAGCTTAATAATAAGTTGCTGCGTAGCAGCTGCTACAGGAAACTGCCGCAGATAAGCTGACTATTTGTTTGTTTATTTTTTACAGTTTAAAAACAGCTGTGCTGCAGCTGTTTTTGAACAAATAACAATTACGCCCCTGTATAGTAATGCGACTTGCAACAGAACTGTTCATACCAGTGCTTTCTATACTTTAAAAGCAAATATCAAGTGTAGAAAATTGCAAAATAAAAATAAACACTTCACTTAACAGTGAGTAGTATGTCTACTAAAATGAAGAAAAAAAAACTATTAAAATAATAACTAATAATATGATAATATTATTTTTAAAATGGAGACAACGTATGTTACGAGCTAAGTCGTCTTCCATGGAATCTTCCAGCCCATTTGCTCACCGAAAATAGTCGCAGTCTTCCGTGATTCTCCGTGAGCATCTATAAAACTGCCTCATATAGCTATGTGGGTGACGTGAAATTAGCAGAGAACTTCGAAGTTCACAGTAGCAGTGCAATCTTCTGAACGTACCAGAAATCGTTGAGTTTATCTTTCCCGGATCCTTAAAAAAACAGCCTTAAACATACACAAGTAAAAATTAATAACAAAAGTAATTAATTATAGTTTTATGCAGCCGTGAGGTCGCAGAGAACTCAGTATATAAATTAACGAATCAATCACTACAAGAAAACAACATACCTTATAAAAAAAGGTTTTTGATTGTCTTTAATCCATGTAATACCAAGCTCGTGTGTGCCACATATGTATATCACCGAAAAAGGTCATTTAGAAGAACCTCAAAAACCGTAGCACCGAAAAAAAGAGAGGAACTTTGTTGCCTTTATTAGGATTTCATATGTGACACCAATCAATAACACCATAAAAGCTATCTGGAAGAACATGTAAGGTCAAACGTGTCATCATAGACCTCCAAAACTCACAAAAAGAAAAAAGAAATGTAATAAGAAAAACACAAATTGCGTAAAAAACCCAAAAGTAAATATCAAATGCATATTAAACAAAAATAAACATGAACTGTGTAACATACTGATATAATAAATAGTGAATATTTTCAACAACCATTACAATTAATTATATAATAAAAACTAACATTCCCTCAAATCACCCTCAAACTATCGCATTCATAATTCATTCCATTAACTCTGTCATCTCACTTACAGATTCTCCGTATTTAGTGCAGGTATCGGGAACATCATTTTTGGCCTGTGACAAATAATGTTTAAGACGATACTCATTTATCTTGGCAGTGACATGTTCATGATCCTCGTCTGCCTTATAGAAGTCGATATTGCGGGAATAATGCCGCCAAATATAATTGTGGAGAATCATGGTGACAATCATAATCTGTACCTGTTTGGAAAACGAGTAAGATGACATATCACAGAGTATAACTCATTTATTCTTCTAAATACTAAAAGTCCTCTCAATAACATCGGGTAAGAATGAATGTCTTTTGTTGAACATTTCTTTCTTGCCCCGTGAGACATTGCTGTCTCGCTCAAAATCAATTATGTGATATTTTGAATCAATATAAAGCTTAAAATAGTCTCATTACAACGGATACCCAACACCGACTAAATAGTGTTTACTTGATGTGAATTGAATTAATAATGTTAAAGGAAAAAAAAGGAGAGTTGCTTAGTCTCAAGCGAACCTGTGAGTGGATGTAGGAAGTTGTATTTATTATTCCGTGTTGCAGATTTTAATATTTGTTTGTCACCGGTCATGACAAAAGTAAATCACATGTTGAAGTCGCACATCACCATGACATTCTGCATTGAGGACCCACAATGACTGATGAATACAATTTTTTTATTATTTGGAACACGCGCATCAACGTGTGTTCCATGGATTGCTTCAATACAATTTTAGAAAGATAATGAAGAGTTACGTAATTATGATATTTATATGAAAACTGAATGTAATTAATGAGAGGAATTACCTTAAAACATGACATATAATGTTCCATTTGAATGTATGCTCTATTGGCTTTATGACTTGTAAAAAAAAGTAACACGTGCATTCAACTTTACTGAAAAGTATTTGCAAATTGTTTTAGAAGAGTGCTGAAATCGCTCCATTGATCCCCACATTGATTCATTCTGTGATAATATGTAGAGGGTTGTTGTTAACACCTCTCGTAAAGTCGTTCTAGTGAGCCATGAAATCCATGATTTCTGTGTAGTTTTCTCAACTGATGGTGAATACTGCCCGTATCATGCGAAAAATATTATTAAATCTCGTTGGGTAGCTCACAAACAACTCTCCAACCCATTTGTCACCAATATATGAGGATGTCATGCAAGGGAAACACTCTAAGTACAAGTTTTAATATTCGTATATCAAGCATACTGCAGCTGCAATTCTCCTTCTATTCGTTTGTCTAGTTGCATCCATGTATTTCGGTATCGAAGTGGCTAATTCATAAGCATCAATGAATTAACTAAAATCATATAAGTTTAGAAACAAATCCAACATAAGCAAATAACATTACAAAAGTAAATAGAAAACATTAAATCTCTCAAGTGACAGTTCAAAATAACATAAATATCCAAAACATCATGAAAAATCATAAACAAATAGAAATGTCACACAAGAATCTAATAAAAAAGTGTCCCTCAAATGTCACAGCTCCCGTGAAAATAATACAGGTAAGCTGCCTTTCGGGCGCCTGACACGTTATAAAAAATTCTCTCAGGGTTGAATCTTCAAGCAAATTCATAGAAAATAAATACAACGACATGCCCTCATAAATTTCTGAAATTGCATCCAAAATTCGCATAACCTACTGGACAAAAGATCCTTGTGAATAGTGATGGGCCGGTCATTGGTGTATGAAGCCACCAACTGTGAGATTTGGCTTCTAAGGAAAGCAACTACCTCTTTTTTTTTCAACTTGAGAACTCTTTGATCGGCTCTTGGACTCAATGTCGGCACTATTTTTGGTATGGGGTTTGCCCGTAAGAAGCTGTCGGTCATCGGAATTGAAATCCTGTTACCCGCTTCGGAAGGACGTTTTTTTTTTTAAAAATTTTAGTTTTGAAAAAGATGAAGTCAAACTGACCCCATAATTTTCATAGTTTAGATGAAAGAGCGCTTTATCTCAAATCATG